ACATTGCGACACCTTATAATACTCCAAGCACAACGTCGATTTCTGCTTAACTTTATTTTTAATAAAAGAAGAAAAAAATCAAAACCGGAAATATTATTTATTTTGGTTTAATTTAAAAGTTAGAAACGGAAAACTCATTTAGTTGCTGGGATATTTTTATTTATTGTTTTAATGGTAAATATGAAACCGGAAAACCGGAAAAGTTTGCTAATTTAGTTTAAAATGCAAGTAGAAATAAATATTGACGTTTTTTACGAAACCGGAAGTGGCCGGAAAATAGTTATTTTTCCGCAATTTTTTTACGTCTTTAATTTAAAAGTTTAAAAGCAGAAAAGCTCAATTAGTCACTCTTGATTTTCGCTTCTTCGTAAGCGTAGCACACGCCAAAACTAAATGTTTCAATGTTTCAATTGCAGAAACTTTTCCAATGACTTGTTTTAATAAAAGCTCTGTAAAGCTCTCGGAAATTTAATCAGAATTTCAACAACATAAACTTTTTCTTATCGCAAAAGAAAAAGGAGTGAATTTCTAATTTACCATTTTGCAGCTTTTCTAAAACACTACCGCGACGCTTTTTATTGTTTCAACTCCGCGCAGTGACGCCAAGCGATAATGTATAAAACCAACCGGCTTCCATTCCCACATTCCGCTGCAAGTCTGGCTGCAAACTTTGCCTGCGCGCACAAAAGGCGACACGTACAGCCCGAACTTTTCTCGTCCATCGCGCCGAGCTTATTCTTCGCTCGAGCCACGCGCAGCGACAAAAGTGGAGTAAACTTATGTTATGATAATATACGTAGTTAGTAGCGGGCGTAACGCGAGTTGAATGAGCACGAAAAGTGCGAAAACCTCAATGATGCGCCATGCGCGCTTGTTAATTTTCCAAAGTGCCTCCGAGTTGAAATTTAACGCCGACGTATTCTGCGTGTCAACGACTTCATGCATGATACATCACATCAGCTAAAACAATATTTTTACAAGCGTAAACACACAAAAAACAACGCGAAAGTTAATATTTTAACATTAGCCAAAGTTCTAGTTTTATGACTTACACTTAACCTTAACAAGCGGGGGAAATGTTTTGTAGGTTAGTTTTAGTATATTAAACGTCGCCCTCTTGATTCTCTTATCTCTGGGGTTCTCGGCGACCGCCGTAATCGCCGCCCCTCTTTGACGGTATTATGCTTATGTTTAAGCTTATAAGTCGCTTAATCTCCATCAAAATTTAAAATTACTTTACGCGCCACCAGTAAACAAGCACGATGAATGTGTAATTAAAGCGGTTTATCCGAAATGGATCTTGATTTACCGTTGGAACTAGTGAGGAGGAAAGAAGTTGAAATATAAATGTGAAGTGGGTGTGGAGTTATGAGTAATGCATATGGATAAAAACATTTTGCCCGGCGCCTCCACACGTAAGACTCTATGAAAAAAATTTCAGACGTTTTTTCAAACTTTTACAATGTAAAATAAAATTATTATTTTGTAAATATTTTATTTTTATTATAAACAAATACATTTTTTGTGCAAATTTATTAAAAATAAATTTAAAATTTTTTTTTTAAATTTTAGTCAAAACTTACGGTTTTACATAACGCGAAACAATAGCTCAGTTTCTCCATTTTCGGCGTTTCAGGACTCAGTATGCTCGGCAATCAATGCCGGGCGCGTCTACTATTTCACTATTTCCACACTACATGCAATTTGCGGGCGGGCGTGAACTATTTTCGCATAAATCACATCGAATTGTGAGCGCGTCGACGTTTATTCCAACTTCCATTAACACATATGTGTGAAAATTATAACAAGTCACATTTTGTCGCTTTTTTACATTCAAAACTTCTCCACAATTGTCTTAATTTAAAATAAAAGAAATAATTAGTCCGGATAAAAAGTTTTAGACAATGTAAAAGCTAAGAAAAAAAAAGAGTTTCAAAAGCTTTGTTCGACTATGTGGCGCGTTTCTTCTTATCGTTTTGTTGAAAACGAGCGCCGTTCAAGATGGTATTGACGTCGGGGGCGGCGACGGTGTTGGTGGTGGTGGCAACCAGCGTCTCAATTGCGCCGCAGCACACCTTTCAGTCTCATCTGCGACCGACTCGCAATAAAGAAACTCAATTAAAAATCCCTGCAAGCTGCTTTTGCTTTTCTATTACAAGTTTTACCTTTGCCTGTCTATGGCATTTCGTTTCGTTTCTTGCTTTCTTGTCACATTGTCGCCACGAAGTGAAAAAGAAAAAAAAATGATACAAAAGAATAAAATCTCGTTACTGATATTTTAAGCATCAAGTTGTTGGAGTGTCGTAAAAAGTTATATAACTCGGTGGATAATTTTTAATTTATTAATTAAAGCAATTTATTTGTCGCGTTCTCTTCTTGTATAGCATGGTCCGGAAGTGGAGGGTTACAGTGACTGTAACTCGTGCCAGGCCGTTAAAAGTTTCTGTATAAATTATTTTTATGCTTTCGAATATTTAGTGACGCTGCGCGCGAGTAAAGAGAGTTTTGAGCTTCAGGACATTCCAAGGATAAGGAGGACAATTCCTTCGCGCGTGCTCATGTTTCATTCCGCAGGAGGCATATGGCGCAAACTAATTTCGCATTCTGTTTTAGTATTTTAGTCGCTTTTACGACGTGACAAACAAAAATATTTTACCACAACATTAAATAAAATTTTACATTTTTGGCAATGGAACATGGGTTTTTGAGAATATATTTTTAGAAAAAAATAAAATAAATTATCTTTTTGACCTGTTTATCATTGGGAATGTCACCAAATATTTTTTTTGAAAATTTTATTAAAAAATTCTGAAATTTTACTTTTTTGGCAAAATAAACACGTTTTTGCAAAAATTTTTAGAGAAAAGTAAAATAATTTTTTTTTAATCATTTTCTCATTATGTTTGGCAATATATTTTTACTTATAACCTTTTTCCTTCAATTTTATTAAAAATGCTAAATTTTTGGGTTTTTGGCAAGACCACAATTTTTTCGCAATTTTTTAGAAAAAATAAAATAAATTATTTTTAAAATCTTTTTATTATTATGTTTGGTAATATATTATCTCCTAATAACATTTTTCTTAAATGTTATTAAAAATTCCAAATTTTTGTGTTTTTGTCAAGAAAACAAATTTTTTCGCATTTTTTCCGAAAAAATAAATTTTCTCACTGACCTGATACTGATGATGTTGCTATTTTATTTTAGAAAAAATAAAATAAATTATCTTTTGACCTGTTTATCATTGGGAATGTTACCAAATATTTTTTTGAAAATTTTATTAAAAATTCTGAAATTTTACTTTTTGGCAAAATAAACACGTTTTTGTCAAAATTTTACGAAAAAATAAAAAAATTATTTTTTGATCATTTTATAATTATGTTCGGCAATATATTATCACTTAAAACCTTTTTCCTTAAATTTTATAAAAAATGCAAAATTTTTGCGTTTTTGGCAAGAAAACAAATTTTTGCAATTTTTTTCGAAAAAGTAAAGTAAATTATTTTTAAAATTTTTTATTATTATGTTCGGTAATATAATATCTCCTAATAACATTTTTCTTAAATTTTATTAAAAAAATTTTAAATTTTTGTGTTTTTGACATACAAACAAATTTTGTCGCAATTTTTTCGAAAAAATAAATTTCCTCACTGACCTGATACTGATGATGTTGCTATGTGGAAAAAAATCTCTTTATCGTTGTGCTCGGCACGTGAGAACGACGGCGTGGAAAACAGAAACACAATAACGTCCAGCACTTCGCGTTTTGCCAAAATGCTGTGCAAACATTTCGAGACGGCTTGTTTGCTTTCTATTGCATCGAAGTAAAAAGCGTCGTGCTACACAAAGAAAAGAATAAAATAAAGCGGCGCACATCGGAGCGATCTTTTTATCCGACCTTGCAAATAATACGCATAAATATAAATAGAATAATGAGCTAAATCACAACATTAAGACATTCACAAAGAAACAAGCCCACAAAAAGATTTTTTTGCAAAAAAAAAACATGAAAATTACACTTGCACCAAATTAAAATATCCTATTAATATTTAAAATATTAATTAAACGAAGTACACTTACCTTTTGTCACTTTTACAATTAATATTGTAATTCACAAACTAAAATTATAAATTTTAATTTTCTATATGGCCGCCAGTAGATTAATTTCGCCGAATCGACAAAACAAAACTAAATTTCACATCCGGAAAACCAAAATTACATTGTTGTTTACGCCGCGCATAGAAAGCCCTGATAATAACAACATTATACACCTGCATATACTCAGAATTCAGTTATTCGATATTATTATTAATTATAAATAAATTTTACAATCATAACAAACAACACTTTTGTTTGCCACGCTCAACACACTCTTTACACACACATTTTTCTTTTTGTACAAATTTACGTTCATAAAAATATATTATTTAACAACAATCTTAATTAACACAAATTCCCAAAATATTCCAAGAGATATGCGTTGTTATTTACGTCCCTTTACTGATACATATTTTTAAAACAAAATTAGATGTTTTTTTCCGGAAACCGGAAAACCGGAAGTCGTTTGTTTTTCACCGGTATTATATGTACAAAATGATAACGAAATTAGATGATGACATAATTAGTTATTAAAGTTGTTTATTCATTGATATGTACAATGAGAATTTTCATCAACAAATTTTCACATTCATCCATCAGTGTCACATTTGCACGACGCGTGTATTAATTATACCTTCATCATTTTTATAAACTGTAAATATTATAAACAAAAATAGAATTTAATTCTGTTTGTTGTCATCGTAATTTAACGAATTATTTTTAGATATATTTTTTATTAATATTATTATTATTCTTATACGTTATTATTATTCAAATTTCACTTAGTCTTTAATTCTATTATAATGTAATTTATTTGTTGTTTTGTCCAATGTCTGTGTTGTCACTTGTTTTATTCGAAAATAGAAAAAAATCGTTACTTGTACGGATTATTAGCGTGTTAGTGTTATCCTACGTTAGTTTATTGATTAATTAATTTATTAATGCTTTGATATATGTCTTAGTTGTAACATATAAACATGAACTGGTTTGCGAAATGATGAATCCGGTTAAATTTTGTCTTAAGTGGTTAGATTAATCGCCGTTTTATAAAATTTTTATCATTTTTAGGTTTTCACTCGCAGTTTAGAAGTGTTTGTGCTACGTTGTTTGACGTATCAGGAGCAATAGTAGGCTGATGAGGATCAACATGTGTGGTTCTGTCGACCAGCAACCCCTTCCATGATGCATCGCTGCGGGGTGTTCGCCTAAATGGAAAAAATCAATAATTTAGCAAAAATTTTTGGCAACTTGCATAACTCGAGAACGCGTGGACCGATTTTCATGATTTTTTTTTTATTTTGTTTGTTACAATCTAAAATATAAAAATAACCATTAAAAATATTTAAAAAATCATAGGAACAATTTTTATGTGAAAATTTTTTTTTAAATTTGATTTTTTGGTCGACATTATTCACTTTAATAATAAAATTTTATTGAATATATTTCCAATGAAATATATTGAAATGAACTTGGAATTAAATAAAAATATCCGAGTTGGAAAATGAATTTTTAGTTGTTGCAGTGACAAATATTGAATGTTATTACAACTCTTGACAAAAACACGAATATATTCGAATATTTAATGGCGTAACAAAGAGGTATTCGTTGTTCCCGTGTCCCAATTGTATCATTTGGTGTTTGAGCCGCCCCTTTGGGGTAGAGAGTCTTGCCTCGAAAACATTCATTCTGCCATTTTGTTGGCTTTTGTTGTCTTTGTTGTAAAATAATTATTAGCTCGTTGCGCGTTGCTCGTAATGTGGTTTATTGTCTGTTTGGCATGTTGAAAGCAAGAAAATAACTTTCCGTTTATTTTATTTGCTCATTATGCGATATCAAAGCGAGCAAAGATGAAAAGTACGAAATAGAATTCAAGTAATTGCCTGCTATTGTTCCAAGTCGCAAAAAAGTTTCAACGTTTTCTTCTTTAAATTAATTTAAACTCGCCGCGTTTTTTTGTTTTAGTTTTAATTAAGAATGCTCACCGTTGAGGATGTGCACGCGTACATTGTACGCATTGGCGTTGGTGGGCAAGCAGGTGTAAAGCCCGGAATCACCCTGGGCTGCTTTCTGGATGAGCAGGCGGCTGGTGGTTACCGGGCCCTTTTCCGTCACCAGGCTGATACCACCGCGTGGCGAATCGAAATTGATCGCTACCGAATTATGTGACCACATCATCGTCGGCGGTGGTTCGGGGGCGTACTTCACCAGGCACGTCAGATTGATCGTCGAGCCCAAGTTGATGAACAGGTCAGGACCTCCAAGGATTTCTGTTATTGGTTCTAGAATCAAAAACACACAAATTTTACCAAACCGGAAAACCGGAAGTTCAAACCGGAAAACCGGAAAATACATGTGCGTGTATAACAAGTTGTCGTCTTAACCACCAGAGTGAATTAATGAACGCCCATTCTCGTAGAATACAGAATGGGACTCCGGCGTCCGCATCTAATTCGTTATCCAGTTCTATTCGTCTTGATGACGTTAGGAACCCGGACGTTAACAGAATACACAATATCTTCAACATACGAGCAGAAATGTTGTAATTCAAAGTGAAATTTTTTTTTGTTTTTGAAAATACAATTTGATCACTTTGTATATAGTTGCTGACACATTAAGTCTAATACTGGTCCGACATAGAAAATCATTTAACACGAGCTAATCGAATCCGAACCCAGGGGAGCGTTTCCAACACCATTTGAAAATAGTTGAAAATCGTGTGACGACGACCCGAATGCACTCCGGAAGGGTGTGATGACTCTTTCAGGATTACATTAGAGCACATCCGTGCTCCACCGAATACTCGACCGATAATATCTGCCTGAGATGTTGATTTAACAAAATATAAAAAGTTTAACGCGCTCGTAAAATTTTTGCAAGAATTTTTATTAAAAATTGTTTTTATCTCAAATATAGCAGCAAATAATATCAGGTGCAGAAAAAAGCAAAAAAAAAGAAGTAGATGTGCCTTACCCAGCGCAAGCTTCAGCTTTATTAGACTTTAGTGGAACGTAACTAATTCAGTTTTAATTATGCTGGAGGCGGCAAGTTTACGGCGCAACTTTTAATTTACGACACCGGAATTTTTCTCGAATCGTCCGCAGGGCGCGAAAACGAAGTGCACCCGCTCTCTTTAATTATGATCTCATAAATAAAAACACATTAAAGCCATTTCCGGAAATATTTTACTTTTATCTGTTTTCTTTTCGAGCAGAAAATTATTACAAGTTTAGATTATGTGGAGGCGCCGGGATTAGCATATATTACATATAGATTTTTAAAGGTGTCGTTTGGATATGATAATTTGGTGTTAAATGATTAATCGCTGGTGGTTAACGAGTCGCATTAATGCATTTTGAAAGTCGAAAAAAAGCCCGGACAAGCTTTCCGCATTAGGTAGACTCGGCGGGAGATAAATCGCGCGCGCGGAAATTTATTTTTCCAAACCGAGTGTTGTGTTTGCCGAGTGCGGTTTTGTTAAGTTACAAATACGCGCGTGCTTTGCGTGGAAGCTTTGCGACACAACGCTAAAAGCTCGCGCTTTGCGAACATATTGCAACCGGAGCCATCGCGCGGAAAATAAACGATGAATCACGCTTAATGAAGAAAAGAAGCGAGAGCAGAGCGCAACGCGAGCACAATGCTTCAATTTATTAATCTTTCGCGTGCGAAAAGCTCAACGCGACCTCCGGACGAATACAAGGCAACAAAAACGTAAACTGTAAACTTAATTGGTAAACTAAACCGGAAAACCGGAAAAAATGGGTTTATTTGTTTCTCCGCTTGATTGCGGCCATATTACCTACAGTGTAAGAGAATAGGGGTGGTTTTATGAGGTTTTCGCCAACGTAGGTGCTTGTTTATGTGTTTTAGTTTATGGAGCTTTAAAGAATTGCAAAAAACAAATATTTTTGCGGAGGATTTTAAAGAAGATACTTTTCTTAACCGGAAATGGCGTTTTACATAAGTGAAAAAACATTTTTTTTCAAGAAAAAACAATTTTGGATAAAAAATGAAAAATTTGCAAAAAAAAATTATTTTTTGGAAAAAAATTTTAAAAAACATATTTTAGGTTATATTTACTAACCTAAAATAAGAAAATATAAACATATTAATATTTGTCAAATTTTCAACGTTTTTAAAAATAAAAATAAATTTTTTTGCAAAATTTTTGCGAAAAGTAAAAAAAATTGTAAAAAACAATTATTTCTGCAAAGGATTTTAAAGGAAGATACTTTTCTTAACCGGAAATGGCGTTTTACATAAGTGAAAAATCATTTTTTGCTAAGAAAAAACAATTTTGGAAAAAAATGAAAAATTTGCAAAAAAAAAATTATAAAAAAACATATTTTTAGGTTATATTTACTAACCTAGAATAGGAAAATGGTAATTTGAAAATATTAGTATAATTTTCATCGTTTTTAAAACTGAAAAAAATTGTTTGCAAATTTTTTGCAAAAATTTGAAAAAATTGCAAAAATACATTTTAAGCAAATATTTTTTACTAACCGACAACAGTCAAATGGACGGGTGTGCCTATCGGTGGCGTCGTGCTAATCTGACACTCGTAAATCCCGGTGTCCTTCCGCTGAGGATAGCGGATGCGCAGCGTCCACTCTTCAGTATGCGGCGAGTGAATCGCTTCAAATCGCTGATCGGAAGTGTAAGTATATCTTCCCACTGTCAGTAAATGAATATCTCGATGCCTCACCCATGAAACCTACAACCAAAACCAAAAAGCAAAAACACAGTTAATTACAAGTAAGTAAATGAATTAATCACCGACATCGCAGTACAAACATAACCTTAATTATCCTTTCCAGCATGTTTACGTGCTGGTATTGTTTGTGTTGTTTTACTAATATCATCGACATCATTACGACCTTAGGAATGCTTTTCATTTGATGATAATATATTAAAGCTTGAATACGACGAGTGATTGTTTGGGGGGCGGCTACATCTAGCAAGTCTAGGCACTCAGGTCCTTTGTGGTCACGTCCGGTGCTGTAGCGTTAATTTCACAACCAGCTGAATAATATCCTCAGCTTTGTGAGCTTTCTCCTTCACTCACGCACCGTGTCACTGATTTGCATTCAAATTCGCTCTCTAATTCATTACGTAATGACTAAAATTTGATCAAATTGGATATAAAATTCAACTACCACTCGAGTAAGTGTATATATCGAGTAATTTCCGTATTAAAATTTTACGTCATAATTCGGGCATGAATTGAACTCGCGGGCGATGAAACCACGTTATAAAAGTTTTATTTTATCTCCAGGATATCTCAAGGATAACGCATATCCATTTTATTTTATCGCTCCTGCCATCGAACAAGTCCGTTTTATGATTGCGAATCGTTTAATTAAAGCTCTCTTGCTTTTTCCGGTTTAATCCTTTTGTATCCTCTTTATCCGGCATAACTACCGTTATATAACTAAATGGCTCATCTTGGTGTTGTAGGTTCGTGCTTTTGTTGTATTTATTTATCCTGGCGCGTAAACATGTTATGATTTCATGCCATGTTGTGTCAGACAATGGGCCGTAAAATCTGTTTACGAGATTGTGCAATTTTTCATCATGAGCTTTTATCGATGAGGTTTTTGATGCACACAAAAGAATTTAAACCAGGATTAATAAACTAAAATATTTTTGACGTTTGTGTTTTTTTCAGGAAAAAACTCAACAAAAAATATTGGGGATTACTATACATATTTTCCGGTTTTCCGGTTTTCCGGTTTACCGTAAAAGTTAATTATATGGTTTATTTATATTCATAGAGTATTCAAGGTTTGCCCAAACATGGAAAGTTGATACTTGTCGATGCGGATCGAATGAAAACGTCCAGGATAGTGTTCGATCGGGTTTCAGTCGGAACGCAAAGTTTCGGAAACGCCCTGGAAATTGTAATTTCGGTAATGGTGAAGCTCCACTCTAAAGTTTAATGCCGATGAATGTAACTCCATGTCGAAAGTTAAATGCACAATTGTCATAAATACGGCCGCTCGTCGCAATCGTTAATTAATGTTCAAACTTTAAATGAATGGAAATTAACGCGGCGCGCACTTCGAAAAGCCCGAAAGCTCGCGGTGGTCGTGTTGTGGTCGCTTCTCACTATTTACCCACTGGCAATCAACGGAATGGTGCCCAGGCCGTTAAAAATTCGCAACGATTAATCAGTGTGCAAATAAAGCTCGGCCATAATTTTCCGTGCGATAGTGCGACTATAATAAACAAAAAAAATCTACCAAGTACGACAAATTATCTAAAAACACCCAAATTCCTCATTCCCGGTTAAAAATATTCCACTTCCGGTTTTCCGGTTTTGGAAATTTTTTGATTTTTATATATTTTAGGTAGTTAAACTCAACTTTTTTGCGTCTTTTGGGAATAATAACACTACTCAATGGTTTCGAAGCCCGTGTGAAGGCAATATCTATTCTATTTTGATCTAGTGCCGGCTGTAACAACGCACGCGTCGCACTTTTATTGTCCCGCGCGCGAATTGCATCGAAGACGAGCGCGCCCGGAATTGCCCCCGAGGGTCCAGTGTTTATAAGTTTTATAAATATAGACGCTGCGCTCGAAGATTGAACAAGATATGGCCGGGACGTGTTTAGCCTGCGTTCCATGCGTATAACAAAAAGCTCCTTCCGGCTTAGAAGAGGCTCTATACTTAAATATTCATGCGAAGGATGAAACCCGCGAGCTTTCAGATAGTTTATCATCTTTTGAAAAAAGTAAAAAAGAAAAAACGATAATCTCTAGAGGAAGAAAAAGAGTTGTGATTGAATAAAAATAAAATAAAACTATATTAAACAAACAAAAGACTTTTGGCATATTTGCATTTGGTGATCTCTATTGTATGTGGAAAATGATTTATGTATGCGCTCATTTCCCAAGTGGCTGTTCAACCGTGCGCACTTGTTTCATTTTTGGTGGAGGCGCCTTTTAGTTATTGATTATTCGCGCATTGTTCGTAACAGAAATCAATTTCTAAGAGCTTTTGTTCCATTCTGTTTATTTTTTCGTTCATAAGAATCCAATGACCAATACAAACGGAATGCAGCAGTACAAAAGAGCTAAAATATTGAAGCGCGAGTTCTCGCTCCGACGTCGACGTGAATTTGCTTCGGAAATTCTCTTCCAATAGATTTGGCGCAATACATTTCGACGATATCTCCTAATATGACTCCATTGCTTATCTGCGTTCGCCGACTAAATGTATCCCGGCAGCGCCAAAAACGCCACATAACCAAACAGAAGTACAAAAGCTTCGCCTTCGACTCGATCGCTGTGTTATTTTTTTCTCTCCGACGCTACATCGCTAAACATTCTAAAACTATTCAATAAAACCAAAAGAAAACTTGCGGGTAGTAATCATTGAATGGTATATTGACGTGGAAATATAAAATTTCTGCGGTCGGGAATTTTTCACTAGCAAATTTTCGCTGCGCAAAGTCGAGATAAATTGCGATAATAAATTTCATGCGGACATAATATTTATCTGACATGGAATATCATAGTATAATATTTTACTTTACAAGTATTTTTTTACAATTTCATCAGCGGTTTTTATTTTTGCAGCAAAAATAATGAACTTTTCGCTGTTTCTAAAACATGTTTTGTAACTTTGCTCACGTATTTATTTAGAAACAGCGGCCGGAAAAAATAAACACAAGAAACTTTTCTGTTTTATAATGTACGTACATTTGTCCTCTCGCAACTTGTTCTTGTTTCAATGATGCGGAATGTGTACGGATGTTATGCGTGTTGCGTGTCGTTGCAAAAGATGAACAATGAAAGTAGCCTCGGATGCCAATATCTTTTCAGTTCTCAGCGCGAGTAGCACGAGTAGCGATAACAATAAAAGTGGAAAACTTTTATTTCCAACATTGTATGTGTGTGTGTGCAGGTTTTTGTTTTTCTTCTGTTTGCTGAGATGGCAGCTATGCGCAGTTATGGCGTGTCTCGATGACTGTTGACACAACTTATGTGCGCAATTTTAGATGTTCGAAGAGGATCGACTAGATGGGCGGTTTTGAGATCGTTCCAGGAGCTTTTTTAACAACCCACGGCACGGGGGAGAAATGGGTCGGAAAACCTGGTCAATATTGTAGCCAGTTTTATAAGTAAAATAACTTTTAAAGTTAGTTTTATGTGGAAATTATTCAAAAATTTGCTTTTTTTGCAAAAAAATTTGATAAAATGTTCCAAAAACACATTTTTTACACAAAATAAAAACAATCATTTGTTTATTTATAACTTGGTTATGATTATTCTACTTTTTTTGTAGGTAAAATGACTTAAAAACTTTATTTTTGTTAAAAATAATCAAAAATCAACGATTTTTGTGCAAAATCAAAAAAATGTTGCTAAATTTTTGGCCAACATGTTCCAAAAACATGTTTTTTTACACAAAATAAAAATTATTACTTATTTATTAATACCTTACCAATTTTTTGAAAATATTTTATAAGTAAAATAACTCAGAAACCATTTTTTGCAATTTTTTCTAAAAATTAAGTTTTTCCCAAAAATTTAATTTTTGCCAAAATATTGTGCAAAAATGTTTCAAAACACGTTTTTACACAAAATAAAAACTATCATTTGTTTATTTATAACTTGGCTTTGATTATTCTACTATTTTGTGGGTAAAATGACTTAAAAACTTTATTTTTGTTAAAAATAATCAAAAATCAACATTTTTTTGACAAAATCAAAAAAATTTTGCTAAATTTTGGGCCAAAATGTTCCAAAAACATGATTTTTACACAAAATATAAATTATTACATATTTATTTATACCTTACCAAATTATTTTAATTGGTTTATAAGTAAAATAACTCAAAAACTAATTTTTTGCATTTTTTTCAAAAAATTAAATGTTTTTCCCAAAATATTTAATTTTTTGCAAAATTTTTTACTAAAATACTCCAAAAACACATTTTATATACAAAATAAAATTTGTCTCATATTTATTTATACCCCCCATATATTTTTCAACATTTAATATTAAATTTTTTCCCAAAAGAAACAAAAAAACAAAAATATCTTTCCAAGATTGGCTTGAACGAATCTCTCCTATCAGACTAAGTGATAAACGGTTTATATTGAATGCGCAGACGAAGAATTTATGTCAATACAAAGTCGTAAAGCGTAACAATAAAAAATTGCGAGCAAGCGCACGGATGGAAAGCTCTCGCAACACTTTACACGCCCACAGCGCGCAGGTTGAAGACGCGCATCCTTCTCGTGTCGTATATTTAAGATTATGTAAAAGCACCATGGAAAATAACTCGATATCTCACTCGGCTCGATCCCAACACGCCGTCGTAAACTGCCATCCTTGCAGATACAAGTTGTTACACTAAAATAACACACAGCATTTGTACAAGCCCGGCGCCTCCACTCATCTCAACCAATGTAAAAAAATGTCAAGATTTAACAACACCATTAAAAAGACTCTCTTGTTATGTAATTTATTGTGACAGTATTTTCATCACAATTTCGGTTCTCTTTCATTTTCTTCGGGTCCATTATTAGCTCCTCATGTTTCCGCAATTTGCGCTTAAACCTAAACCTGTTGAATTGTAATAAGCAGAATTTTCCTTTCGCTGATTAAATGAATAAATTACGGTGGCGGCGAGGACCAGGACCAGAGGAAAAGTTTTCTTGTTTTCTTTGCAACATCTCATCGGCGTTAATTAGATTAAAGCAC